AGGCAGTTTTGTAAGCCCACAACACTTCATCAAACCTAAGGGACCAATCTTTCCTAATGTGGTTGATTTTTTTCTCTAGGATCCTCTTGATTCATCTATTAGAGACCTCGACTAATCCATTGGTTTGTGGGTTGTAAGCAATAGCAACCTTATGTGTAAATTCAAATTTGACAACTAATGTCTCCATCTTTTTATTACAAAAATGACTATCGTGATCACTAAATTAATTGGAAATATGCTTCTTTAAAAATTTTAGAACACTCATATCATCATATTTAAGCAGTGCCACAACTTCAATCTACTTGGAGACATAGTCTAACACGACTAAAATATAGGTGTTTCCCAAGGAAGATGTGAATGGCCCCATAAAATCTATTCTCCACACATAAAAAATCTCAACTTTTAAAGTAAAATTTAAGGTCATTTCATCTCTCTTTAAAATAATACCTACCGCTGAAATTTGTCAAAAGCTTTCACATATTCATTCACAACCCTAAAAAAGGGTTGACCAACAAAATATGGATTATAGTACCTTAGCTATAGCTTTAAGTCCTTCAAAGTGTCCCCTGATTCTAAATCAAGAAATAACTTAATAATATAGTGACCTCTTCCAACACATATATCTACTAAGAATCTGGTCCTTATATTTCCTAAAAAGATAATGATCATCCCAATAGTAGAAACTGACCTCAACAAAGAACTTCTTCTTCTAATGATAAGTCATATTGTAAGAAATGATCCCACTACCAATGAAGTTCACTATGTTAGCATAGCACGAGGTGAGATCCTCTTAAAATTTGAGGAGTTTCTTATTAGGAAAACTCTCATTTATGTTCTCTAAACACTCATCAGAAGTCTCTTGATCAAGCCTAGACAAGTGATCAATTATTTGGTTTTCTATACCCATCCAATCAATAATCTTCATATCAAATTTCTGTAGAAAGAAGATTGATCAGATCATGTGTGGCTTGGAACCCATCTTAGTTACTAAGTATCTGATAGTAGCATGATGATAAGTGTACACTGTGAACCATGGGTTTGTCAAGTAGGATCTAAAATTATCAATAAACAAACACTATGACCAAAAGTTCCTTATTTATAGTGGACATCCCTCTTCAGAGCTAATCCTAATGGGTGAGGCTAATCTTTCTACATCTTTTACTATGGTTCATTTTTATGTCGAGGTATAATTCAGTAGGGGCTTCCTTCTTAAGGGTTTCTTCTTAGTCCCTTCACTTCTTAACCTCACATCCTAGACATGCAGAGTCCTTTCTCCTTAGGGTTCACTTCAGTATTACTTGAGAGAGTACCTTTGGGTCTATTGTTGATAAAATTCACCAGCTGGCTATAGTTTTACTCTATAATTTATTCCTCATTTATATTACCAGCTCTTCAATGAGTGATCTTTTCTTCTTATGCTGAGCATTAACTTGAAATCTTGTTGTGTATGATTGTTTTTTAGGGTTACCTTCTTGAATATCCCCATTGCATATAAGGTGGCTTGAGGGTTATTGCTGCTCCATTGGAAGACTGGTTAGTTTCTCCAGCCTAAATTGTAGGTATTGGAATAGAGGTTATTAGCATGGTTTTTTATGGAATTTATAGCCTCCAAAGCGGCCATGCTAGGATCTACCATAGGTTTATATAACATCCAATCACTTGATGACCACCCTTGTGCATAATTCACCCCAAGGTTAAGTAGCTAGGATAGTTAAGACATCAAATTCTTGCACATTTTCTACTTTTTGGGGCGTGACTCTATCAACAAAAAATTGAATATTGTTGGTGGTCATCTCTTCTATTAACCGGTGGGCTTTCTCATAAGTCTTAGACATAAGTAATCCCCTACCTACAGTATCTATGATGGACCTTAGAGAGCATACTAATCCATTATAAAAGGTTTAGATAATCAAGAAATTAGGTAAGGCAAGGTGGGGGCACCCCCTAAGCAGTTCCTTAAACCTCTTCCAAGCCTTATAAATGGACTCTCAATCTACCTGAGTGAACGAAGTGATATCATTCTTAAGTCTGACAGTCTTAGATGGAGGGAATATTTTGCTAAGAAATTTTTGGACAAGATTGGTCCTTGTGGTTATGGATTCTAGAGCAAGAGAGTTTAACCACACCTTAGATTTATCCCTTAAAAAGAAAGGGAGCAACCTAAGTTTAACAACATCACTGGGATACTGTTATACCAAAAAGTGGCACAAAGTTCAAGGTAATTTGACATGTGAAGATTGAGTCCTCCATAGGTAGTCTCCTAAGCTGACTATTTTGAATCATTTGGATAATAACAAATTTCAATCAAAGGTATTGGCCTCTACAGTCGAGTAGTTGATGCTTTTTGGATTTCTTCAACAGAAGGATTAATGTAATCCCTAAGGGGTTTCAGGGTAGGCTCTTGAGGGTTATCCATCTCTATGAGTATGTTTGTGAGTGAATGTGCGCTCCTTAAGCACTAAAGGTTCTATTAATTTCAGCATCAAAAGGGGCAAGATCAGGCTCGACTACCTTATGCATACACTAAGACAGTGGCAACGAGATCCTAATGATAAACTCGACACACTCCAAATAGACACACAATGATATAATCCCACACCAGTTGGTCAACATGCCAAAATACAAAGCAAACAACACGTAAAAAAATAATTAAATAAACTCACAAAATATTTTTGGCTTTTATAATTTTTTTTCAGTTTTTATTTTTTTCAGCACCAACATGAAAATGCAGAACATCCATGCAAGTGCAAGCAATAGCTATGACAACAAGAAACAAGAAAAATAGAAAAGTAAAAAAAAATACCCAACCTAGATTTTAAGTTTATCATTTAAAGTTCTCCTAAAATTAGAATGATTATTAACAACTTTCCTTGGCAACAGTGCCAAAAAATTGATGGCAGAAAAGTTGTCACATGAAGTAAGTCAGTCAATCACACAAGTATACATGTAAAGTAATATGTTGTATCAGATTTCACATATTGATCCCAGAAGGAAAGTGCTAATGATGATTCTGAAAGAAAAATCTATAATTTACTAACTATGTAAACCTAATTTACCTTGTTCACAAAAAAGGTTGTTGAAATTTTAAAATTCTATAACCAACATAACAAAAATCAATCTTAGAAATCAGAAAACAAAATTAGAAAGACACTTAATGTTTTTCAAGGGAGATGAGGCTTGTGCTTTTGCGACATGGATATCGTGATAGTTCGTGATTTTCTTTAATTTGTTCCTACATAATAGTTGCCAACAGAGATAAGTTTCCTTCTTAAGACTGTGCCTAGGTCAGAAGATGAATCAGAAGCTCATGAAGTTAATTTTTGCTTAATCTTGTGACGTTTTCAAAATATTCTTCTAATCCCCTTTCTAGGTTGCAGAACCCTTACTAGATCATGCATATTATGTCAGAATTCTATGATTAACCTAATCGTTCTACTATGCATGAGCAGAAGTCATAGATTATAAGAAATTTTAACATCATAATTGGCCAGATAATAACTAAATGAAATCCAAAAGGTTAAACAACAAAATAAAGACATGGAAGGTTAGAAAACGTTATATGGAAAACATCTTGGAAAATCATGGGAAAACCACTAACATTATATCAAAGAGACACAGAAGAGATTTAGCCATGCATAATGGAGCAAAACACAGAAAAGAAATTCATGTAAATCATTTTTGTAAGAAGTAAAATAATGTAACTCTTACAATAATGATTTACCCTCTCCACAAGAGTAGAAAATCTCTCTCTCATACAATAATCTTTGAAGAACAATAAGAAACAAGGGGGAAAAGAGAAGTTAAAACAATCATAAAGATTTCATCCCAAAAGAGAGAGAAAACCCTAAGGGAAAACTCTCACTCACAAAAAACTCTATCTAACTCTAGCCTCAAGCATCAAGCCACGCAAGATGTAGAATCGTTCCTATGAGCATACATATAGGGAAAGCTTGACAAATGCAAGAAAATTTCTTCCAAATTTGATTTAGCGACCGGACACGATGCATGCACTTTAACCACGAAATACGATAGCGCGGGTGCGCTCAAGCTAGGTGCGAGCATGCTCAAACAACTTTGATGCATTGGGCAAACGACGCAGGTGCGTTGGCTCATAACTTTGCATTACTCGCTCCAATTTGTCTTTTTTCTTGAACCACATCTAGCCTGTAACCTACACTAAATAGACAAAAATATATTCCTCAACCATAATAATGTCTTAAACTATGTAAAAATAAGGGTAAACAGACTAGAAATTTATCACATATTTCGTTCACATCCGACATTTACACACCACTCAATTCTATGTATTTAAATATTTAAAATCTAAATCTTTTTATCACATTTGTACCGCCTAAATCTTTATATCACATAAAAATACAATCATATTAATTTTAAAAGATAAAATATATCTTTTCATGCACAAGTTAGGTGATATAAATATATTTTTTGTAATAATTGAAGTTTAGATGTTAGATATGTAAATACAAAAGAATTGAGGGCATGCATGTAAATCTTGCTTTAAAAATTAATATCTTTAAACAATTAGCTTGACCACAAGCGCAACAATATACTTCAAAATTGTTTTTTGTTAGGGGTGGTCCTGTAAAAGCAGTGGCTTTTTCATAATATTCGCTGTGCCATCCTCCTTATTATTTTACCATCGTAATTTATTTCTTTTGTCCCAATCAAAAAATGGGAAAATTATTTCATACGGATCGGACACCGCACGCAGCTTGCCTGTGGTGTCCGATCCGTACCGTAAATCACCTGATCTACGGTCCCAATATATTTCGGTTGGCCCCACCTAATTTTTTGAAAAAAAACGGAAATAATCCTGACCGTAGATCATCGTGATCTACGGCTAGGATCGAACACCGCATGCAGAGATGCATGCGATGTCCGCACGCAATAATTCCTCCAAAAAATGACTCACATGAATACCTTCCAAGCTTCTTCTAATTATTATTATTTTTATAACTTCTTTATCCTTGTAACATAGAGCTATTTTCTCGAAGAAAATGGAAACCCCTTCAAGCTTTTTCTCTCTTAGATCATTCTAGTCACCAAACCCTTTTATACTCACATATATTTGCCCTTTATTTGTCTCCTCTTCCTCCACCATCTCCTCTCTCTCTCTCTCTCTCACCTTGCTCTATAGAACTCCATGAATCCATTCTACAGTTGCCAAATCTCCCAATTCTCCCCTCATGTTGAAAACCAACATGAAAGCCACATACCGTTTCTCTCTCTAGGAACTAGCACCACTTCCATCTCTTCATATCCATTTTTCTTACATAACCAAAAACATCATGTAGCCCATGATCATGGAGGCCTCCCTCATCACCAAGCTCAACTACAAGAACAGGTACTCAAATCAATCATCAATTTTTTATATCTTCATGTGATTATATACACATATATATACCATCTTTGAAATTTGTAAAAAATTCTTCATGTTATGATCTTATCAGTATGTTCCAGAAGAAGATCAACGACAAGGACCAGTTAAATGGATGTCTTCCAAGATGAGGATCATGAAAAAAATGATGAATTCGGACCAAGCACAAAAATCTAGAACCAGAAGAAACAATCATCAAAACCCGGATCAAAAACAAGCAAAACAAGAGAGCATAATTCGAGTTTGCTCAGATTGCAGCACGACCAAAACCCCACTATGGAGGAGTGGACCTCATGGCCCAAAGGTACATATAACATTTATGCATATAACATTTAATCATTTAATATAAAAGAACATATCTGAAGTTTTTAATCTGTTGCTCTTCACGTGATCAAGTCTCTGTGTAATGCCTGCGGAATAAGGCAAAGGAAGGCAAGGAGAGCAATGGCTGCTTCTGCTATGAGTGGTGGTATGACAGTAATTAAAGATGGAAAGGATAAGGTATCAGATTTTGTCGACCAAACGGTCCCTTTTAAGAAGCGGTGTAGGTTTTCTGCTACTGCTTCTGAGGCTGCACAGAGAAAGCTTGGCTTTGATGATATTGTTGTAAGTTTAAACAACAGTTCAGCTAATTTACAGAGAGTCTTTCCTCAGGATGAGAAGGATGCAGCTATTTTGTTAATGGCTTTATCTTGTGGTCTTCTTTGAAGTTATAGATGATTAATTCTTTTGTTTGAACAATTTGGTTGGTATATGCTTGTTTGATTATATCAAGAGTTTGTGGAGATGAAATGAAATAATGTCTTCGATTTCTCATTAAAGTTTGCATTTTTTTTTTTAGTTTTTATGTTCTTTTGTTTATTTAGAGTTGAAATATGGTGAGAACTAAAGCTTCCCATGGCTGATCTACATACAACTGTGTTGATTTGAGGGCTGGGTGCTAGTTCAAATGTATGGTTTTTAGCTTGGATTATTAATTTTCTAAGATTTAGATAATGTATATATAATTGCATATTAGTCGTTCATTTTCTTATGTTTTGCGTTTTTTTTATGACAAATAAGATTTTTATACTTCATGATATGATAATGTTTGGGATCATTAGTTAGCATCTATCAAATTTCTGCAGAAATTGAAATTTTTGTTCAGAATCATGATGGTTGTCGTATTCGCCAGTCTGAAGTTGCCTCGAAAGTTGCGAACAACATAAAAGTAATAAGAACTAAATGAATCATTGAAGTAGTAAAAAATAGTAATATTAGGAAATGCTGTGTTTAATTAACCAAAGCTGGCGTTTTGGTGTAGCGCTCATTCTAATTTAAGTTTTGTTAAGTGGAAATGATGTGGGATCAAAACATGCCAATCTGGACGAACACATTTTTTGGCCTTGGTTAAAAAATTTAAAAAGTTGTGCCCAGTTAAGTAATGCCTGTATGATTGATCAAAACTTCACCCAAACAAGCTTGAATTGACTGTGATTAATCCAAATGGTTTCACATGGATAGACTGGATTGATCTTATTATACAAAAGTTCAACTTTTATTTTTGTCATCAACACTATATAAAGATCTATATATATATTTCAATCATATTGATATTATACTAATTTTTTGTTGCCTATGTACAGGAATCTGAATTTGTCCTGAAAGGTGAGAGATAGAGAGATAGAATGCACACTAGGTGAAAGCTTTTAGAGTTTTTTTCCGCTAGTTTATTACTCTTCTGCTGTAAAAATGACAACCCTATTTATATGCAAAAAGAGATACAATAGTACAATTAACTGCTTGCCCCTATGTTAAAATAATTGCACAATTGAAAAATAAATGTTATATGTAAAATAAAATTTGTAAAAAAAAAAAAATTTACTGTTGACGCCATGTTGAACAATCAAGCAAATGCTTATAAAAGAAGAAAATATTCACAAAAAAGCATATATTTAGAAATAAGTTTCATGATTATAATAAATATTCACCCTTCTATCCCCTCCTGCTCTGAGTTTGCTCAGCTTTGCTCAGCCCTCATAGCTTCCAGTTGACAACAGTTCTGCAATTAACCTTGTGATCTAACTTCTCATTTTCGCTTGTATACTTAATTGCTATAATAACTGCTGCTAGTTGTTCATGATGGTGACGTAGATATTTTACAAACATAAAATCCAACCCCAAATAAGCTACTTTTCTATGCTCTCCTAATTTCCTATGTCCACAAATCAATAATTGGTTGTTGGGGGAGCTTCATTTTGTTGTTCTGTGGCTAGAGCATCTTTCTATCGTATAAATTCATCGTACATACATAAATATTTAAGATTAGTATTAACTTCAACAAAAATAATAGAAAAAAGGTTATGTGTGTGTATATGTGTATGTAAATTTATGTATGTGTACGATGGACCGAGATCTGTCTCAAAATTACACCCAAGGAATAGACCGTAAGCATAAGAAAACAGAAAGAAGAGAAAGAAAACACTGGATTTTGATTATGATTTATTAGTCATAAACAGAGAGAGAATCCTCATTTCCTTTTGGACAATATTCGTTAATTATATATGTCAAGTGATCTCGTATGAACTATGCTCTAACTTCACTGGCAAGTGACAGGATTTTCCAAAATCAACTTATATGGGGACATCGTAAGGGTGTCTTATAAGTTATCCTAAAGGCCCATTAAACATTGTCTAGCCTAAGAGACCAATCCTTCCTACTTGGGCCAATATCTCTCTCTTAAATTCTCTTGATCTGCTTATTAGAGTTCTATAAATCCACTAGCTTGAGGATGCTATGAGGTAGAAATACAATGTTAAATATCAAATTTTGGCCACTAGTGTCTTAATTGAATTATTGCAGAAATGGCTTCACCCATCATTGATTATAACCCTAGGTGTTCCAAATCTATGTAAAATTTCTTTTTCAAAAAACTCAAAACAGTCTGAGAGTCACATTTGATTAAATCTATTGCTTCAATTCATTTGAGACATAGTCTATTACTATCAGGATTTAAATCTTACATACAAAATATACAAATGATCTTATCAATATATTACCCAAATATCAAATGTTTTAACCTTTAATATGTAATTTAAAGGCATCTCAACTCTTCTAGAAATATTAACTTCCCTTTGACATTGATTACATCTCTTAATATAATCATTAACATCTTTAAATAAGGTCAGTCGGTAGAATCCTTATTGTAAAATTTTAGTAGATATCCTAAATCCTTTAAAATGACCTCCAAATTCTGAATCATGGCTGGTTCCAATTATCTAATGAATGTTTTTTAATGGGACACACCATTTAATAACTTGATCCTTATATTTTCAATTCTAAATAATACTTGTTCACTTGAAAGTAAAACTTGTCATAAAAAATAAACTTCTTCTTTTGGTTATAAAACATATCAAAAGGTATGATACCATACCAAGGGATATTTTATTCACAAATTACAAGTAATCCTTCATTAAGAAAATTCTTATTAATATCTTAAATATGTTCAGAATTATCCTGTTATAATCGGGACAAGTGGTCTGCTACATGATATTTAGTAATGTTCTTATCAATTATCATCATATTAAGTTAATATAATAGAAGTTTCAAATGAATCAAGCGAAGTTTAGCATCTTTTTATCTACGAGGTATTTAATTATAGAGCGACCAGCATGGAGTTTAACTTTATTACCTACCATATACAACTTAAACTTGTCAAACTCAAAAATTATCGTAACTAACTCCTTATATGTGGTGGTGTAGTTTTTTTGTGCATCTTTTAGAGTCTTACTCGTATAGTATATCATATAAAAAATCACATCTCTCTGTTATCATAGCACTACCCTTACAGCATAATCACTACCATCACGTATTAACTTAAATAAAATCTCCTTATTTTGTGCAGTAGTAATTGATGCAGTGATTAGTTTTTCTTTTAAACACTCAAAGCCAGTGAGAAATTTTTCATCAAATATGAAGTAGTCCTTATCTAATAAATGACGTAACAATTTTTGTAGCTTGGATAAGTTCTGAATATATCTATGATAGAATCCTATGTGCCCAAAAAAACTTCTAATCTTCTAACAATTGTGGGTGGAGGTAGTTTTTCTATAGCTTAAATTTTTGCCTGATCTATTTTTATCCTTTCTTTGATAACTTATGCCTAATGAAAATACCTTCATAAATCACAAACTACTTGTTTTTTCCAATTTAGCACAAGATTCGTCTCTTCAAAAACTACCAGAGCACCAATAGACGGTAAAACACAAAAGATTTATCCACCATCTGATTAATAAAGGGTAAGAGAAAATGAACTTTCCTAGTAGCTTTGTTTAATTTCTTATAACCTATGCATAATCTCCACACTATGACACTCCTAGTAGGTTTATGTTTTTTCTGGTCATTCTCAACTACTTCTAACACATCCTTTCTTAGGAACACAAAAGTTTGGAAGTGTTTATTTTACTTTGTTGTGCCATGTTCCCATTTTAATGCACTAGTTTTAAAATTTTCTATTGTGTTTTACCGTCTATTGGTGCTCCGGTAGATGGGTATTCATGCTATTCAAATAGAAACTGATTTGAAACAAACTTATAACATTTGCTACAAGATTTCTATATGTCCATTGTATTTTTTGCATATTTGGAAAAGAATTACAGTGTTTCTGCCTCTTTTTCAAGTTAGGCAGTCACATTATTATAGGGAATCCAATAAGCATGCGAATTTCTTAGCCAAATGGGGTGCTGCCTTGAGCATATTCAGGTTGGGGTTTCCCCTCTTCGGAAGGTTTTGGTTATGCTTCATGGCTACTTGAGTGACTTCTCGTTTATTGGAACCAATGTCGAGTGTTGCTAATTTATTCACATACTTATAATTTTTGAATTTGATAGCTTTGCGTGTGTTGTAACTCTCCTTGAAGGTTCCATAGAAATTCTTTTGGTTGAATTATTTTTTGGGTATAGCTGAAACCTACACCTAAACAGTGTAATTTTTTGTTAGTAGCAGTAAAATTTCCCCTAGAGTTCTAAAAAAAACATACATACATACATCCATACATGTATACATGTTTGTATATCTATATACATACATACATATACATACATACATACATATATATATATATATACATACATACATATGCCGCTCATTTTTATTGTGATTCTATGTACAATTTGGAACCTTATGTAGATTAAACTTATGTATTATATATGAACTATGACTTCAAAAATAATAAATTTTTGTTTCGCAGACAAATGTCCTTTGAAGGAATAAGACAAAATAACTCAAACATACATAAGAAATGATATTTTAAAGAAAATGAGAATAAATACTATTGATTATAAAATGAAATGCTTTAGAAAATGTTGAAGGCCTAGTACAAGAATAATATTATGCTAATTTGATCATGTGCTTCATCATTGTACAAGAATATATATTATAACACAATTGAGTCTCTATGTAATAAAAGATATATAAAATTTGATTCCTTCAAACTTTCAATAGTATGTATAAACAATCAAATAGATTAGTATCACTCAAAATTCAAACATTATAGGTAACTTAAATCCAATTGATAAACAATAAATCTTTGTACAAAATTTCACTATGGGAATAACCCAATTAAGGAGTTGATTTATCAGGCGAAATTTTTAGTCAGATATTTAGCAGCCAGAACGGTTGACAAAATGGCTAATCATTCAATCATACTATAATTTACTTTAAAGCAGCTGATACTGGTTGAACATTCAACTGCAATATTTTGACAACAAAAATTTATTCTTCGATCAACCGCTAACTCATTTAAAACCTAACTCGGCT